ATAAAACAACATCAAATCTAAGAATCATACCCTAAACCAAATTGATTCAAACTTAGGAATTTTAAGTTTTTCAATTTACTTCCAATGCGCGGAAATATACTTAAACTACTCGGAATGACACGAAAATTTGCGTGCAAGTCTTAAATCACTATACGGAACTATTCCCGAATTCAGAATTCCAAACGGACTTCAATTACTCAAAAACCTACTCCAAACTAATTTTAAAGAACTTTAAACCTTCAAATAGTTGATTTTCACTATTAAGCGCCAAAACTCTCCCGGGTTATCTAAAACCCGATTCGAACATACGCCCAAGTCCGAAATCATCATACGAACCTATTGGAACCGTCAAATCCCGATTCCGAGGTCGTTTTCTCAAAATGTTGACCGAAGTCAAACTTAGTCTTTTAAGGTTAACTTAAGGAACCAAGTGTTCCGATTTCAACCCAAACACAACCAAATCCCGAACCAACCATCCCCGCAAGTCATAAATCATTAAAAATACATTCGGGGAGTTTTATTTAAGGGAATGGAGTTCTAAAAGTCGAAACGACTGATTGGATCGTTACAGGATCTTTGTAACAATTATTAAAGAACCTATTAAAAGAAGACATACTACTTATTAGTAACTACTATTTATAAATTTTTCATGGAAGTAGTACTATCATTTGTCATTTATTATCAAAACGAAGAACCATCTGAATGAAAAGGAATTCTTACAGGAACTCTTGAAAAGCTAGAGCCCATCCAGTGCACTCACCGCATGTCAACAAATCTCGGAAACCTTTAGAAGTTTTTGAAGAAAAATTATATATATACACATTATTATTATTTTTTATTAAAGGCAGCGTTTTGTTTTTCAACTAATTAAGGCAACGAATGAACAGAGTTCAAATTTGGATATATAGTTACATACTAGTATCTATGAACGTGCGTTGCACTTTTAGAGGTTTAACATAAAAATAATTTATTTTATGTTGATTCGAATTTTAATATTAGTTCATCTTTTGTTTTGAATATTTAATCTTAATTATAATTTTATCCATCATAAATTTTATTTTCAAAGAGTAAAAGATTGATATGATATTTCACTTTTAGATCGTTATGTTTGTAGAATCATTAGTGGTATTGACTCTTACCAACTATTTTTTTTTCTCTTTATCACACATTTATATTCTTAAATATTTTATTAGTTGTTGTTTAATAATTGGGTATTTTTAAATATTACACGAAAATTTGATAAAAAAATATTATTTGAGTAGGAAAATAGTTTAAATATAAAATTAAAATATATTAATGTGAGGGTATCTTTTTCTCAATTTCAACTCTTTATCCAGTCCATTTAATATTATTTTTATTTTTTATTAGTATTGGACATTATAGAGTGGTAATGTACTGCAAATACGGAGGATTCTTATAAAATTAATTTTATTAAACTTTCCTATATATTTTTTAATACTAATTTAATAGATAATATTTTATTAATTTTAAAATTTTAAATATTAAAAATTAGCATAGAAGGTATTGTAGTACAAAAATAGGTTATTACAGTTATGTCCTTTCCCTATGAGTTCTTTCGCTTAATATTTTAGGGCTATTTTGGTATATTAATATTGTATTTATGCTTTTATAATAATATAAGCTCCCCTTTTTCTAAATGAATTTGGACAATATAATACATTCTCAAATTAAATTAGTAATAGGACATTATAATACGTTTTAAAATTAAATTAGTAATATAATTTTTTAAGAAGTATATCCTAAAAGTAATAGGATTACATGACTAAAGATATTTACTTGTTTAATTTTATATGAATTAGACACCCCGAAAATAATTATACTAATAGGATTCCTAAAGGTAATCATGTAGGATTCCTAATGTGTAGTATTATGTCCTAAAACTAATAGGATTATAAGGCTAATATTTAGAATTTCGATTCTGTCCTTTTATTATGAGTTATTATGCTTAATATTATGAGGTCATTTCTGTAAACCGACATTGTATTCATGCTTTTATAATAATATTAGGCATTTATGTTCGTGCGATGCACAGAATATCTTGTGTCAAAAGTTATAAAACTTCCGATCTTGCATCTAATCAAGTGGCTTCGCTCCATTACAACTTGCTCCAGTAGTTGTTAATAAAAGTCTAATTTATCGAAATGTGTTTTTATAAATTCAAAAAGCTGAAACTTGATTTGGTTTATTATCTATTATTCGGCTTAAATCTATTTTAATGATACGATTTAAAAAGAAAAGGTAAAATATATGCTACAAGATACCCATCAGCATCATGTCTTATATTCCCATGAAATCAAAAAGCATCCCATCATGTCTTCTATTCCCATTGATATCTTAGGCTGTGATACCTATTAATATAAAAAGTTCAAAATGATAATGTCCAAGAGAATTTGACAAATATCATATTTGTAGGGTCGGCGTATGTATAGTTTAAATCGAAAAAGAATTTCAGACTTAGGTTATTTACATATTTATCCTTAATTAAAAGTCGACTAATGTTTTAGAAATATTTTTAGATAATAAAATTTTATCATGCATAAACTACTTGAGAAAAAGTCAGTAACAAAGAAGAAAAAAAGATCAATACTTCGTCTATTGTCATACCAATTAATATAATCCAAACTCAAGATTAAAAGGAATAGTCCAAACCGATAAAGTCTCAAATGAACCCAAAATCAACTTTGTAGGGTCGACATATGTGCAGTTTAAATCGAAAAAGAATTCTAGTCTTGTGCGATTTACAATTATATCTTTAAATTGTATAAATATTTAAGGTCATAAAAGTCGATTAATATTTTGAGGATGTTTTAGTCGTTTTGGGCGATTTACAATTATATCCTTAAATTGTACAAATATTTAAGGTCATAAAAGTCGATTAATATTTTGAGAATATTTTAGTCGTTCAACATTTAACATAAATTATTCGTGCTTTTATAATAATATAGATATAGATATAGATAGATTAAAATGACATAACCTTTTAGAAAAGGCACTTACAATTAAAATAATTTTTTTATTAATAAATATTAGATTTTTAAGAAGGGCATTTCAGTAATTTAACTTTTATAGAAAAGTATCAAAAGAATGAAAAGACATGATTTGTTTCTTTAGCCTTGGTAAGTAACGATTTATTTCTTTAGATTAAGGAAGTGATGATTTATTACTTTTAGCTCTGTAATTTGAACGGTTGTGACTATTAATGAAGGGGGTATGAAACACTGATTTAGTGATGTTTGTAGCGTTATATTTTTTAAATTTTCTAAATAAATTATAAGTCATATAGAAAAGTAATTTGGTAATTCAACTTTTCATTTTTGAGCTTCTCACTTTTATAATATATATATAAATAGTTAGTAAAGTAAAGTAGGAGATTGAGGAGAAATAAAAATACAGTTTGGATATATAAACTCATAAAGAAAATTATTATAGGGACGAGAAAGGCAAAGAAAATATTGTAATAAGTAATTTACAAGTGTGCTCCGCCCCCCGGCACTATTTTTCTATACTACTCCTAGTATATATATTTAGCATATATGGGAAATTGTTGGTACTAGGGTTTGGTCGATAGTTCCGAAGAAATGGCCGATAGTGAATCGAGGCGATTTTCGCCATGTTTTGCAGAAGAACTACTTGACTGGCAGAGGGGACTGCCCCGCAGGTTCTTGTTTGGTCAGGTTGTCTGGGATGACGACGCTTTCATCCCCGAAGGCGCTTCGGAGAAGCACAGGGTTATATTTCGCAGAATTTATAGGAAATACTTCCTTCAGATTTTTGCTTCGGATGTTCGTCTTCTTTCACTACTCTTTTTTTCTAATCTTGCATTATATGTATACACACACATCAGATGCACGCACACAAACCTATGATTGTTTTATTTTATTTTATTTGTGGTAATAACTGTAAATCTGTTACGCTCATAAACTTTATTGCCAATTTGCAACCTTTTGAGGAATGAATCATTGTTTCAGATTAGTCTTAGACGGTAGGAGCTGGTCAAATTTCTAATTAGAGCTTACAATAGTTTTCACTTTCAACAATTCCAATTTTTTCCCAGTTTTTCCCAGTTTTAGTTGGCTAAGGCTGTTCTTAATATTAGGAGTATATTTTTAGACTTTGATTAGTTGTTTAGCCTGCTTATTGTTTGAGTATTCTTAACAACTAATTATTTGTAATATCCCAAGCTCTGCTCAGTCTGAGCTCCTTAATTTTTTTTAGAGGCTTAAGTGTGGCAGAAAATATTATGGGGTTTACTTGGTTACGTGTTAAAATAAATTTAGAAATTCATGGCTGTTTTGGTGGTACTTTTAGTCATAGTGTTCAAGTGATTTTATTAGCCCCTGTTCTCTTTATTTTATTAAGCAAATAGACCAAATTCTAAAAGAGCATATTAGCTCCACAACTTAAAACTTCTTTACTTGATTGAATATCAGCTTCTTTGACTTTCGGCTTCAATTATGACCCCCTTCTTGTTACCGCTTGAGTATGAATTCATGACTGATTGGCTTATTTGGCAGGGTTTCGACATTGACATCTATCCGGGTAAAGCCAAGGCAGCTATGTTTATACCATACCTGGATTTTGAGAAAGAAACTGACTTGCTGATGGAACTGGCTAACCATGCTATTCAGGATTACAACTGTAAAGAAACCAATGTATGCCTTTATTCATCTTATTATCTTTGCTCTGGTTGAACAATCTCCCTCACCCCAAGTGTCCTTACAGTATTTTCTACGTGCCTTGCAGGTTTACAAGTACGAGGTCTTGTATGTTGAAAAAGTGAACTTTATTTTGGCCGAATGCCGTGAATTTTTTATGACTGTTAAAGTTAAAAATGTCACTCTACGTTCACCTAAAGAAACTTTTCAAATCCATGCATATAAAGGACCAGATGGGGAGAATATTGTCCGCCTTTGCCGGAGAAAATTGCTGGTTTGACGTATACAGATTTTGAATGAATCTTAGTGCTGTTTGCTTACGTTGTTTCTTTGGCTTTGGTTCAATTTTTGTGGATATGGATATCAGATGATTTACTTGTGGATAGGCTTTCTTCTGAAAAATACTAGTAATAATACTAAATAAGTGATAGATTTTGGGTGAAGTCCAGAAAATACTGTGTTCTATCTGAATTTTATGGTGAGAATGTTTACCCGAAAAACGGATAGAGTTGAATTTATACGTGGTTCTAAAGACACACGGTATAAATTGGTACAAACCGGAAAGATAAGTAGAGATATATCGAATGTTTATCGCAAAAAGGAAAGAAATACAAACCAAATTGATTAGAGAATGATTTATAAACGAGTAAGATAGAATCAATGACCAAGCTCCCTAAAAGGATAATATCTCCAAACAACTATATATCAATGTAATAATCTTGAAATATAAGTGTATGAATGTTTAGATCTCTTTTTCGGATGTTCAATGTCCCTTACAAAATATAATACCCACTCTTCATATAGTGGAAGAATTCTACTTTGGATATAATAAAAAATACATAGTGGGGATTCCATGATAGAATAATTGATTAGCTTTTTCTTAATTCCCGTCGAGATTCTCTCCCAGGTGAGGCTACAACGGCTCTTTGTCTCTTGGCTCGGTCTTGGTCGGTATCGGTCGATCTCTAGACCTCGAGCTTGATATTGATTCGAGCTCAGTATTGATCGGTCTCTGGCTTTTGAGCTCGATAACAGTACTTCAGATCATAACTCGATATTGACTCGAGCTGGATATTGATTCGAGCTCGGTATCTTGAGGTCGATAACCCGGTTTTACTCCTTATCTTGATGTCATAATGATGACCCTCGGTTCATCATGTTTCAATCTCGACCAATTACTCGAAGGGCAAACTCGGATTTGACCGTATACAGATAGTTCCCTCATTTCTCAGAAAATATGTGGGGAGAAACGATATGATTTTTGAACGACATGATTAGATACACACTGACGTCTCCATCGAGCCCGACCATGACGTACGTGATAAATATCCCATCGGTTCAGTTACCAAGCCATTAAATGTGTGTCAGACGATGGTCGGCCATTGCCGATATTGAACCGTCATCGCCAACTCTATAAATAACTCCTCTCTTCACCATTGTTACTTTTAAATTCCCAATTTCCAAATCCACTAAGTTCTTTTTTGCATCTGATGAGTTCTTCATTTTCAAATCTGCGATTCTCACTGCTAAAACTCTTCTTAGAATACCAAATCTTATCATCTCCCTCTATTTTTAATCTTCAAATCCAAAATGGCGAAAACGTCAAAAACTGTTCCTCAAAAAGAAAACGCTTCTTCATCACGGCCTGTCGGCGACAAAACACTAGTGGAGCCATGACTTGAGGAGTGCGTTCCCGGGGGGTGCGTTCTTACTTCTGATTTTAAGACCGACAAAGCCTTGTCGGTTCCCGGTCGATGCGAGCCAGAAGAAGTGGTGATCCCGGCTCCCGAAGAAGATATTACCACCCATGTGAAAGGGTTTTAAAGTGTTTACACTTATCCTTCCACATTGGGTCCCCTCGACCCCGTTCTCATCGATTTTTGCCGCCAGTATCAAATAACCCTAGGCCAAATCCACCCTTCCTTTTGGCGAATTGTTATTCTGACCCGCTTCATCGTGAACAAAGTCGAGGGGATGCCTTTCACCCTCGACCACCTCATCAGGTTGTACAGCTCCCCACATGTATCGAGGCATGTTAATAAAACTCCATACTCTGACTGGATGAGCTGTTGGAGCCTGATACTTGGGAGCTATCTGCTTCGGAGCGGGAATAGAGGGAGTCTGGGACCCTCCTCCAGCTTGAGAAACGGTTGTTCCATGGGAAATGCGCCAATCTGGGACACACTCTCCATAAGGCCCACCAAACGGACCAAAGCGTCCTGAAGTAATGGGGTGGCAATGAACCCCTCCGAAACCTAAGCTGGTCCGGCAGGAACAGTCTAGGCTGGAACCTCCTCGCCCAACTCTATCTGAGGCTCCACTGCTGATACTGCTGCACGAACTCTGGGCTGAGCCCTGCTCCTGCCTCGGCCTCTGCCCCTCGTAGGAGCTGCCACTGGGGCTCTGGTTGCTTCTCAGCTGAGGAAGCGGTACGTGTTCTCGCCATCTGCGAGAAAATAAGAGGAGAAGAGCTCAATCAGTATTGAGAAAACAAAATCGCACGACACAGAAGAATAAAAGTGAAATTTGTTCCTAAACTTCATAGCCTCTGGAATATAAGCACAGACGTCTCCGTACCGATCCTCCAGACTCTACTAAGCTTGCTCTTGAATCGTGAGACCTAGGCAACCTAGTTCTCTGATACCAACTTGTCACGACCCAGAATTCCCACCATCGGGACCGTGATGGCGCCTAACATTTCACTTGCTAGGCTAGCCAACGTTAGAGAATCATTAAACCAATCCCTATTCCATTCAGTGATTAACAACAGAGTAGCTAAGATTAAATATAGTAAGTGCGTAATAATATCAAAATTTTATTAACTACTACCACCCGGATCTGGAGTCACAATTCATGAGCATTCTAGAATTCACTACAAGTAATAATCTGAAAGAAATACAACTGTTTGGATGAAAGAAACAGCAAAACAGAAAAAGATAGGCGGGAACTTCAAAGTCTGTGAACGCCGACATATCTACCTTGAGTCTCCGGATAACGGTCCAACAGCAAAAATCTCGATCAACCCGAGCCGGTAC